CCCCCCCCCACCTCCTCTCGTCCTGATAGCGCCCGCTCGGTCGCGTGGCGTCGCGGGGGTTGAAGGGGGGAAGGGGGGCGCTCGCGGGACTTGACTGCTTTGGGGAAACTTGGAACCATTATGCGATTATGGTGTGCTGTTATAGGGGGCCGTGCCTAAAGTCCGCGCGAGCTACGCTCCGCGAAGCAGTGCCGCCGGCGGGAAAAGCGATTTTCCGCCCACGTTGTGTCGTTCTCGCTCGCTCACGTGTGTCGTCCCCCGTCTCGTGTTCCAGGTGGCCAGGGATGGGTCGGCTGGAGAAACGACTCCAGGAACGGGCAGCCCATCGAGATCGTGTTCGAGTTTGACAAGGTGCGCGAGTTCACGTCCATGGACATCTACTGCAACAACCAGTTCACCAAGGAGGTCCAGGTAAGGAAATGCCGCGTCTTCAAAAAATTTGACATTGTAAGCTTCCTTCTCCACCCCAGCTTCATTTTTTAAAAAGGAAGGGTATTGTAACACAGCCTATGGTACTCTGGCGTTTCCGTTGTCTGCGCATTGAGGTTGAGGGGTGGCAGGGAAGGAAGGAAGGGGGTCAGGCAGGCCGACCTGGCGAGCAAAACAAAAGTGCGTCGTCAGCCTGCCACTGTTCCCCTGTGGGGTCCGGAGGAAGGCTGCGCGGGGTCCCCCCCTCGGGCCAGTAGTCCTCGTCGCGTTCCGCCCCACCCGGCGGGCCCCCGGGGCCCCCAGCCCCCCTCGGGGCCCACAGCCGCACCCCGCCAGCCCGCCTCAGGGCGCGCGGTTCCGCCGCCAACAACTTTTCGAGTAATTGCAAAGCTGCCAAACTAAAACGATCTCAATCATTAGTTTGTGGTCCACGTAGTTTATGAGCGTCGGTTTGGCAGCTCCGGACGGCTAAGGCGCGCAGGGTGCGCCGCCGGGGGGCCCTACGGCGATTGGGTGGAGGGGTGGGGCACGCACCTGACTCAAGCTCCGGGGCTGGAAATGTCGTCGTCCAGTTTGGCGAGGGTCTCCACGAGAGAGAGGGAGAGGGGGGGGGGCGACCGCATGACTGGTCTCTCGGAGGTGATGATGAAAGTGATGGATGTACAGACGGACGGACTGACGGACGGGGACGATGTGTTTGCTCTGCTGCCGTCTCAATGAAAATGGGGGGGGGGGGGTCGCTTTGACCGGGGATGCTGCTAACGGGTGAAAAAGGTGACAAGAGAGAGAGAAGAGTGAGAGAGATGGTGGGGGAGGGAAGGTAATCCGCTCCTGACCCTGGCAGGGTGGATGGATGTTGTCCCTCCTGCTCCAGCCGGGATTACTTTCTGTGCGCAGGGATTTCGTTTAGCAGCCACCACCACCTGATCTCTTTGCCTTCTCTCTCTCTCACTCACTCACTCTCTCTCTTTTGATGTGACCTTTGGTGCGCCGCGAGGTCAAAAACCCTTGAGAGAATCCCGCAAATACCCGATATGATCCTCTGGCGCCTGCTGAATAAGTAAGTCACAGACACAAAAGTTTTTACGCCTCAGTAGCCACAGCCACGGCAGAGTAGGGACGGCATGCCACCGGTTTGCTCCCTGACGACTGATTTCTTTCCAGTTATGGTCCAGCGCACCGCGACCGACGAGAGGGTTGTAAAGAGCTGCGTACGCCGAGGAGATCCACCCGCCTGGCAAACATTTTAACGCTGCCATAATGTCGTTAAGTCTAATCCGTATGAGCTGGTGCTCTGGACTCCAAAACAACTCATGGAAAAGAAAGGGAAAGAGGAGGGGGGAAGGGCTGGTGCTCATCATGGGTACATGCTGGGTGGAATGCCAGCAGGCGAGCGCAGCGGGGGTGGTATTTTTCCGCGGGCGATCATAGAGCCAGCAAGCTGCTCGGACCCCTGCTCTGGTCTCCGCTCTGGTCAGCAGGCACAGTTCCACTGGTTCGTTTTTACAGCGCGGCGAGCGTGGGGCCTGCGGCCTGCGCCGCTGGAGCTTCCGGGCCGCGGGATAACCAAACCGCTCTATTTGCCCGCTGGTTTCACCGGGTTTCACTGGCGCCTGGAATGCCTCAGGGACGTTCACTGATCGGCACACCGCTCGCTTTGTGCGATTTTATTTGCGGGCGCAATGGTGTGTGTTGTGTGCTGTAACCCGCTCTCATTCATGCCCTCACAGCTTCTCTGTGCTGCTGCTATGCTATTTCAAACGGAAACCAAACCGCGTTTGTTCGGGTTCGGCGTACTTAATTGTTTCTCCTTTTCCTCATTGATGTAGCCGACAAGGAAAGATGCATTTTCAATTATTCCACTTTTTTTGCGGAGTTCAGCCACGCGCATCTATAGAAGCCCACTTTCTCGGCTCAGAAATCCTTTCCGGATCAGGAACAGCGAGCGCCCA